TGTTTTTGTTTTTTTAATCTATTTTGATTTTTTTCATACACAGTGATCTTGGTATTGTCAGAATGAATGTTTGGTCTCTTTTTTCTTTGTTTCATTGGATCAAGTTTACATTCATGCTACTACCACTCAGAGTGGCAGAAGCTAGACATTTTAACCATTTACTTAATACTTTTATTATACTATACTATTTTGCTCTCTCACTAACTAGTTTTATGCAGTCTTGATTGCAGTACGAGGTGTTACAACTGACTCAGATTAGTGGGAGGTGTGTCCATCATAGCTGGGCTGGGTATCATTGCTATAAAACTCATTCATCTGCTCAGAGATACTCAAATACTTACAACTGTGCAACTATACACACACTGTAGGAAGCACAGCCATGTATACACACCTGTAATTTTGTGCGACTAAACCACAACAGCATCTTTCTCCACTCAAATTAACCAAATAACAATTCTATTCCTTTAGGCTTGCTGGCCTAAAGGTTTGGGGGTGAATGTTTGCACATTGGTTAGTGCAAATAAAGAAAGTGGCTAATTGCTTGAAAAGACAAGAAAGGTAAAGTCAACTGTCTGTAAACATTCAGTGGACTTTTCCCACATAATTTACAGCCCAGAGAGCTGATGCTTTCTTCTCCTAGCTGCATCAATCACCACTCAAGCTGTTGCTTTTACCCACAGCCACAATCCATTTTCAAATAGGCAGTCAGCTTTGGCTGTTAGAGGAGAGAGAGTAGGTGTGACAGCTGGATAGACAGTGACAAGGGGGGGGGGGGGGGGCAGAGAGATTAACAGAGGAAAAAAAAAACAGAATCACTATAGGTGGGCAACAAGTTCAGAAAATGAAAGTGAGAAACCAGTCAACAGCGCTCACTAAATGGATGCCATCTGGCTCTACTAGAGAGGAAAGGATGCAACCATGCTGGCAGGCAAGCCAGCAGGTGAACATAGCCAGAGACAGACAGAGGGATGGGTCCTGCAGCTGCACAAATCTTTGTGTCTGCATCTTTATTTCATATGACAGAAATGCAAGGAGCCAGCATGTCAAGTGAGGCTTAAAGAGATGAGCTGTTGTTGTTTACCTGGCAACAGCAATAAAAGGGGTTGGCTGGAGACTCTTCCTGCAAGAGTGAGAAAAAATGGGGAAAGCAGATTAGATGTGCGATACAGATAGGAAAGTCATTGTTAATGTAAATTAAAAAAAAACATCTTTGTGTATGCATGGCTGAAACAAAACTGCTTTGTAATGGTGAAGGATAGCAGAGGAATCAAGGTGAGCTATACTTCACATTTTATTTAAAGGACTGCCTAAGGTTTTAAATGATCCAATCCTGCAGATAAAATACATAATAAAAAGTTTATCAGTGAGGAAGTCCAGGACTGACTTTCATATATCAGCCTTCACTTTTCCCACAGAATTAACTGTGTAGTCCTGCATGATTTCTGTGGGACTGGCCGGGGCAGCCTGCAGTGACAGAAAGGATTAGCCGATGGCTTCATTTGATTGGCTCTCTCAGTGCAAAAGCCTGTCCATCACCACAAATCTGTAAAAAAAACAAAAAAACAGCATAAATATTTAGCACTGGTTTTATCACAGCAATTGAAAACAGATTGAAGACAGTGGTGACCATGTCGCCAGAATGACTTTCATGTTTGCGGCTTCCTAGAGGCCAGACATGTGACAGCCAGAGTATCTTTGTCCAGGACGGCTCATTTCACAGTACACTTGGGAGATTATTGTGTCGCCTCTTTCATAATCTTAACAGGATTTTTTCAGATTCAAGGATTTGCTACATTTGATACGAAATGTTGGCAGTCTACGCTCTAGGTTGACAGAGGATTTCTCAGTGATTGAATGGGGAATATGGGTATGGAACATGACTTAATATACATATGTATGCAAAATTAGATATAGTAGTAAGATCCACCGTCTTAACACTGCATTGCCCTTTTTCTAGTGTTTGTGGTCCAACATATTTAAGCTATGGTTAAGCTGTATCTTGTCACAAAGAACAGAAAAGCCTTAAGAAGTTGCTTACATTGCAGTTTTCTTGCAACTATTCAAACTATTATAACTATTCAGAGAAGAAAGTAAATCTGTCTTGGATACATTTAAACACTGCTTTTATGTAGATCAGGGATGCCTCAACTTTTTCCCTTGGAGGGCCACAGACCAAAGGCATACACCCACCGTACTTTTTAAGTAGAGATGTGCAGCTCCATTACTGAGGCTGATGCGATAAACATTTCGATGCACTGCCAAGAATCCAATTCATGATACAATACAGCCCTATTGCAATGAAGTGCGATTTGACACGATCTGAGTCAACACAATGCGATCCAATGCTATGCAAAGCTATGCAATTCAGTATGGTATTCAAGATAGTTTTTATATTTTAAGCAGAGCTTGGAAACAGTTGAGAGGAGGAATCTAAATATAAAATTGTTTGTCACATATTATTGGTCATATTTCTAAATAATAAAAGGTAGAGGGCCTTTACTAATAATTATATATAAATAATGAAAGATTTTACCAATGCAAAGATGCATCTTGAGATATTCCCCAGTTATATCTGATGCACACTTTTTTAATCAGGGTGTTCACATCTTGAACTTTTATACTTTTATTTGTATCGTTGAATCTTGAAATTACCAATAAGATGCAAATGGTACCCTTTATTGATTGACTTTATATATTATATTTTAGAATTTATTTAAATTAATTTTTATTTTTTATTTTGCTAGAAACCTATGGCGTGCCTAATCAAATCTTAACCTCTGTTTTTGTTTGATTTGTCTGAATCAACAGCTAAATGCATAGGGTATATATGTGGCTACTAAATTAGTCTAGTTTTAAATGGGAAAAATATGATATTATATATCCAATCAAAGTAATTTATACCCAAGCCCTAGACCCTTCTCAAGCATCAAAAAAGCTAAACCTCTGTCAAATTAAACTTTATATATAGATATGTAGACAATAAGAATTGAATTCACAAAATACCAGCGCTGATGCTGTTGCATTCTTATGTTCATAAATTATTTAGTCAGCTAGAGGATATAAACTCGGCCTGTTCATCTGTCTGTCAGTCATAAATAATCCCTGAGATAGTACTTACCTATTGTCTGGCTTTCAAGGCAATGATCCAATAACATACAGTCGGTTATGACTCTCCTCAATTTCCAATTAGTGCTACACAACTCCCTAGTTTCTGCAGTTGATTCCATCTCTGAATCAAATTATAATTTATAATTCAGGCATTTACCAGACGCAGTTAATCAGTGAGATTAACAATTAGTGCAACAGTAAAATAAGTGAAAATTCCTCAAGCATCAACAGGGTAAGTAGCCAGATAATTCAGAGTGCCAAGTGGAAGTGCCATGCTAATTGTCACTGGAATGGACTCTTTAATTCCTATTAAACCATAATTAAGAATCTACATTTGAGACGCAGCATCCAAAAGGCTAAGCTGCAACCCCTGCATGTGGGAATAGGCTAAACTAATTAAGTCTGAATAATGTTGCACGGGCAGAAATAATGTTGCATCCATTTACCCTAAATGCATGAATCAATGTTGTCGTGTTCAATGTCCTCCATATGCGTATCCCTGTTGACAAGTTAGCTATATCATTAAAGAGGCTACATATACCATCACCATCTCTTACAAAATTCCCTACTAATGCGTCTAATCAAATATAGTGCAAGACATCTATGTTAAACAGATTAGGTTTTTTGTGTCTATGTGTTGTAAACAGTGATGGCCGATTAAGGACTAACAATGTTAGCCAGCTCTCTCTTTAAGCTTGTATTTTCAAGGTCTCAACAATATTTTTAGTGGCGTTTCATAATTTTGAATACATAATAGAAAAATGTGGTCTGAGACAGATGTACAATGAAATAAGGGCTCTTTAGCCTCTGCAGCATCCTATATTAGCCAAGGATCACGCCAATTGTTTCAATAAGGAGAGACAACTTCCACAGAACAATTAAAGTACAGTTTAGATAATAAACTAAATTAAGCTAAACTTAAAGGAAAGGATCTAGGTAAAGTGAGCAACTGTGCTGGCTGGAAGCAGGGACCGTACGTGTATTCTGTCACAAAACGTAAGGAGAGGCAACTTATTTACGCTCCTCAAGGGTTCTCAGTGGTATGTCTAATTTTCCTAAACAGGACTGTAGGTTTCAGCCTTTAATATTTGTATTCACAATGGCTAAGATGTCCTTCATCTTTGCTAAACTAATTTTCCTTCTTTCACGGCAAATTTCCTGCAGAGCCCATCCAGTTTCCACAGTAGCTACAGCAGCTAAGGGCTGTGACTCTCTTCTCAAAAATGCAATTCAAGCCCACAGACACATTTCAGAATTGTCTGCACTTATGTAATGATATGTAACAAAGAACATTGGGCCATTATTTATGTTTTTCTTTTTTATTTAAAGAAAATTGAATGTGACTATATGACTGTTCTAATGCAATGCCCTCCTTTCTAAGCAAGATATAGGCATTGGTCAGCAATAATACATAAAACTTAGCTGCAGGTGTTTTAACCAGGACCAGAGAGCACATTAGAACGTGCCTGTCACAACTGGAATTGATTTTAAGACTGTTTTATTGGTTTATAAAACATGAAATGATTCTGTCCCCCAGGGCATGTCTGATATGTACCAGGTCTTTGCTAAGGCCAGACAGTAAAAGCTGTTTTTATTTATAAAACGAATCTGATTAAATTATAACCTACAAGTGCATGTCATTCTTTTATTCCTGTTTTATCTGGTTTTGTCTTAAATAGCAAGAACACATTGCTGCAATGGACATTTATACTAATGCTGCATATTTATACCAACTTTATTTTATTTCTTTTTTATGAATTATGGTCATGTTATACATGTTGTAATATATTAGTAATAATGCAATAATCCAATTCAGTTCAACATAACTACAAACTGTAGCCTCCAACAGAACCAAATAACCAAATACACTAATATTCTATAGTACCTTATTAAAAAAATATTTTTTCAGAGCTTATGTGACATTATGATTAATACTGGTTTAACAAACTATCAGGATGAACTAATGACATGTCTCTTTAATTTATAACACTTTGTTATAATATATACAGACTCCATTAGTGATAATAAAATTATGTAATAAAGACTGCTCTGAATCATCTGGGCCAAACTTTGAGGAATGTCTCTCATTCTTCACAAAATCCAGAATCATAAACTAACAAACCTGAACTTCATATATCCAACTTGACACCAAAGCAGTGCTTTATGATGAATATACTGTACTTCTCCAAACTGTACCCTGTGTGATTTTAACCAAATGGGGAAATGTTTTTACGTCAAGTGGGATTGGCCATCAGTTCAAAGTTTCTGGGAACAAATAACAAAAAATGAATCTGAAACACTGTCATTGAGAATAACTAGACACAGGTGAAACTAATCAGGGCGGGAAAACAGACAAAGACAGGAAGTAAAGTAACTGACACAAGTGTAGTATTACAAAATAAAACAGGAAACAACTAAACTAGAACCCAGAAAAATAACAGTAGTGTAATTTTAACAACAGAACCAATGAAACTAAATTATCTTTGGTGTTATTTTTTCCAACTGGCGCTCAATGACGTAAGGTTACTTCTTCCTAGTTCTCTCCTGCAACTTGATTGGATTGCGTCACAGTGGATCTTGGGAATAAGTGTTGACTTGCTGGGAATGAATAGCTTTAACATTGGTTGATTCAGGGAATTAAGGGAAATTAATTGATTTGTGGCACACTTTTTACTAATAACACTTCATTACTTAACAACATACTTTGGACTTTGGGGAAGGTATCAAGTATTTTCAAGTCAAAAGGATCAAGATCAAGTGATTCATTAGGCCTGTTTTGATTTTGTCAAGTCGAGTCTAAAGTCATCAAATCTGTGACTCAAGTTCAAGTCATGTGACTTGTGTTCACACATCTGACTTTAACCATACTCAAAGGCAGCTGTGGGTCATCAACATGCAGTGTTGCTAAAAAGATGCTGGCGGTCAGGTGGCAATCACTGCACTTTCCTATTCATCAGTGGAATCACTCTTTAATAGAGTTTTTAGCTATGGAGCTCTCTGTTGCTAGGATGAATGAGGCAGGACAGATTATGCTCGGGGCTGGGAAGGAGCCACTTAATGCAGCTAGAACAATGACATCAATGTTTATTTTATTTTATTTGTTTCCTTATTTACTCTGCAACGCATTGTTTTCGCATGTGTAATGTAATTTAGAGAAAGACCCACAGGGAAGGGGTTAGGTCAGAGATAAAGAGCAATCAAAGTTGCAGTGTATGCTTTCTGTTGCATTGCTTTATCTTGTGGAATAAATAAAATAATAAGTTGGTCACAAAATCAAACCTGTTGAACATCTGACCACACTAAAAATGAAGCTATTCAGCAATGCTGCTGTATGAAATGCAGTGTCCCTCCAGGTTAATGATAATCCTGTTAGAATGCAGGCCTGGGAGGATAATAAGTAAAAGGTCATTCTTCCCAGACCCTGAGGCCTTGTGAGGCTTTGCAGACTGGGACACTCGAGCAGAGCAGGTATGTGATTCCCTGACCTCTACTGCCTGAGGAAATGTTGGCATCTGGCCACAGTGGCTGCGGGGTGATCGGAGAGCGTCTGGCCACATCACTATTCTCATCCACCCACTATCCCTCCGTCCACCCGAGCTTCAACAAGCAACCAAGAGCTGTAGTCATAGCAACGGGCAGGCATGCCGATGCCCTTGGGGATCATTTCTTGACAGAATTCCTCGGCGTCCTCTCTCAGTAAAAGGTCGGCCCCTCTGCTGAATGGCTGTTTATCTTTGCAAAAGTGTAAGCTTCAGTGTCCCCCGGCTACCTTCATCGCTTTCCCTTCTGTTCAGTTCCTCCTCACCACTTATTTTGAATGCCAATAACTCATCTCTAAATTAAGTGAACAATTTGAAGCTGTAAATTATGTGCTATTCACAAAGCCACAGGACAAAGACAGACCGAGGAGGACATATTCCTCAGTTTCTGATTCAATAACAGTTATATATGCTTGTATACGATGGCGTTGGTGGCATTGCACAATTTGTATTTCAAGCTGTATTTCAGTTTTCCTATTTGATTCTGATATGTACAAAAAGATTCAGGGACTATCAGACTACAACAAATGCTGTGTGAATAATGGACAAGTTTGAAGTGCAGGCTATTCACACAACAAGGATATTTATGTCATCTCCTTGCTGAGGTCACAAATCTTGGCTCTTCTGCACTGGAGAAGAGGTGCTGAGGAGTAACTGAGATTCATAATGACACACACCAATCACACACACACCTGATGAATGCACAGTCACTGGCACCTCCTTAAAGGTCCAACAGAATGGGTGTCCCTTACAGCAACTGGAGAGGGAGACAGGTGGTGGAAAGAGGAAGTCATTAGAGGGACAGAAAGAAGGAGAATAAGATGGAGAGAGAAGTCACAATCCATGGGGAAAATCAAAGGAGAAAATAATCATTCTCAATCAAAAACATGTAATCCTTTTTAGCGGCAGAACCAGCTGGTGCAGCATCATTTGTCAACGTTGTGCACCTTTGATACAGACAGATGATCCTTTGTGAGTCAGCTGAATATTGAATACAGAAACTTTTATTCAAATCTAATCTTTTTAAATGATTAGTATAATTGAAATTCAAAGCACACATTGTGTAATGGATTTTTAGTCATGGACTGAGCTTAATATGAAGCCTATCTACGATACATCAACCCTCATCTGATACCATGACACAAGGTAGAGATCAGTAATGCATCACTGGAATTGTAAATGAGCCATGCTCCCCCATAAGCCACTGTTATCAGAAACAACAAGTGACAAGAATATGAATCTGAACTATTGACTAATGCGACTCAGCCTCCTGTTAGTGACAGTTTGTTCTCTGCCTGTGGCACTCAGAAAGGTATTTGCTCTCAACATTGTAACCCTGCATAATAATCCCGAACAGTGCTGTCATGCTCTTTATCTGTCTCTCTGTTTTAGCCCATCTGCGCTATTACCATCGTTGTCTCATCTTTAGTCAGCAATCATCAGAGTCCTAGATCACAGATACGAGCATAAATATCTGTCTCTCTTTCCCTCACACATTCATTTCCACCCTTTTTTTCTCTCAGTCATTTTTCTGCCACAAACACAGAAACCCATGTGCCACATACACACTCACACACAGTCTTTCAGTAATCTTGCTTTCACTGCCTCCCACACAGGCATCTGCAAAAGAGCATGTGTGGTTCACAGCAGTAGCTTGGTCCACACTGGGAGAGACTGGCAGATTCAGAGATTTTAAAGTGTTACATACTCTATAAGCATTATATTATGGGTCCTAGATAATTGCAGGTTCTCTAAAGGCAGGCCTCAAATGTCAGATGCTTTTAGCAACAAAAATGCCTACATTTTTTACCTCCATACTGGATTTTTCAATATATATTGCAAAAAACTTGAAAGGAGCCAAATGTAACTTGGTTAGTTTCAATTTTGAATAATACATTTTTCAACTTCACCTTTATAATTTTATTTTTCTGTGTAGCAGCATAACAAGATGTGTTCAGAAAAGCAGTAGTTTCATACAAAAACTTACAAAAAAGTATTTTTACTGGGGAGATAGCAGGGTATTTTATTTATTTCCTTGTCTCCACCTTTCTCTTGTGCAGGTGAATGATTGCAAAACAGAGAGCGGCCTTTGCAGTGCAACCCTGTCCCATGCTGCTCCCTCCTCTCAGGGGATGGCCAAGGTCCAGGATGGACACACGAACGCATGTGACAGGTACACGATGCTACATACAACCATGACCCTGAATATTCCTCATTTGAAAAATGTATGTGGATATATGCCTTTTTATATATGAATGTGTGTGTGTGTGTGTGTGTGTGTGTGTGTACAGCTCTGCAATGTTAGAGGAGAGCCAGGATGGTATGGACAGTGGTACCCTAAGTCCTGCCTCAGCTCGACAGGTCACCATCCAGCGTCACCCTACTCAAGGCTTCGGCTTCATTGCAGGCAGTCAGAGGCCTGTCATTGTACGCTCCGTCTCTGCTGGTTAGTGTGTGTGTGTGTGTGTGTGTGTGTGTATGTGTGTGTGCATGTGAGAAAGGGAAACAGAGCAAAGGTTTTCAAACTGGGAGGCGGGCCTCCCCAGGGGGGCTCCAAACTGTTTTAGAGCAGGCTCAGTGAATGGAAGTTAAAAAAAATTTAATTCGTTATTACATTAGTTATCAAAAGGAGATCACATAGAATAGGCTAAACATGGGTGATTTGGTTAAATAGACAGTTCAAAGATACTTTTTCTTTACAGAATTTTAATGTTTTTTCTTCTTTCTCTGAGTCAAAAACTAATAAATGCCTTAGGACAGACCTTTTTTAAAGTATTTGGTGTAGTCTGAAGGCATGTCAAACGGTGATGTTAGGCTGTCTTGGCTCAATTGTTGAGTGTCAGTGTGATCAAAAAGCATTCAGGACTTGAGTGAAACTAAAAAAGTAAATGGGGGTGTGAAGGGGCACTCTTTTCTAAGTTTTATCTAAGGGAAGGCCCACAGTCTCAAACTTTGAAAAACCCATGAGATAGAGCATACAGGGAGAGTGATGGCACTTTAAGTGGTGAGTCAAATTAAACTTCACTTTGGACTGTATGTATATGACTTTGTATGCTGGTGGCTGTGTCCTGTCTTATCTGCAGACGGCCCCTCCTTTGGCAAGCTTCTCCCTGGAGACCAGATCTTGGCCATTAACGAGGAGACGGTGAGCGACGCGCCCCGAGAGAGAGTCATAGACCTTGTAAGGTAACATCCTTTACTGTCCCAGGAGGGAGGGAGGGGAGGGGGAGGGTATGGGCCAGGGAACCAGCAACACGGACAAGTGGAAGTAAAGAGCACATGGGTAAAAAGGGGGGAATACAAGGAACAAGCTGTTTCTTATTGCTGGTGATGTGTTACATCAACACAAACCTGTGGATGAGTCAGTCCTTTTGCAGCTCAAGGACAGCGAGGAAATGGCAGATATAAACCCTGAGAAGCGCTCCAAATACCATGCTGTCCGTGGCGTTATCTAACCCACTCCACTCTCTGTTGTCTTTCCATAGACGCTGCAAAGACTCTATAGTTCTCACTGTGCTGCAGCCCCATCAGGTAGTATAATGGGACACTCACTCTCTTTCATGTTTCTCTCTCCCTCAGGATTTCTCTTACTCTTCAGCAGTCTTAACGCTTTTCCTGTCACTCTGAATCATACAGAAACACTGCACAGTATTCTGTCCCAGAAGTGCACACTAATGCAATGCAGACATAAATTAGTATTCATGGCCATGCCTACACATTAGAGTAATTTCTTTTTCTGGTAAGCCCTTTCAGAGCAGTTCTATGTAGGAATATAAACATCTCCATGAGACCTTATTAAATACATTTTGTGTGTGCATCTATCCATGTGGAGGGAATATAAATATACCATTTATTTAGCTGACTAACTGACCTGTATATTTTTAAAAGATGAAATACCAATATGATACAAAAACATTTACTCTAATTTTATTTTTTATTTTTTTATTTCATAATTTGGACCTTGGAGTCCTATAGTGGTATGAGTTATGCAACAGTTCTGCAAGGATTTGCCTGTGTTGGCTTTAAGTAGCTAACATTATTTATTGTGCTCAAACCAACAAGCACAACAATTTAAAAATATTTAAACTTTTAGCAGGTGAGTTTCAAGTTGACAGCAGGTTTGCAGCTGTCGCATTGCAGCAGCATTAGCCGGCTCTCCAACACACGTCTCTTTAGCACTGGCAGTCACAGGGGCTTTTCTCTCATTTACGTCTCTTCTTTCAAGCTGATTCAAGAGTTCCTCTCTCTCTCTTCTCATCCTCAGTCACCTAAGTCTGCCTTCATAAGTGCAGCCAAGAAGGCCCGCCTGCGAACCAACCCGCCTAAAGTGCGCTTTTCAGAGCAAGTGTCCATCAGCGACCCAGACTCAGTAAGTTCAACTAGTCATGTCTCTCATGCAAACACATGCTGTTACTCTGTCCCTCCTTCTCCTGCTGTGTATTTCTTTTGATTGATCAGGAATTGCAAAAAAGCTTTAAGTAGCCTCTCTTCGTCCTCTTATTCAAGTCTGTTTTCTACTGTGTGTAGAAAACAGGTCCAGGTCCTTTGGTCCAGGTTTATCCTTGAATAAATTGCTTCCCTGACTGATTTGAATTATCACAGGAGCAACAAAAACACCCACAATATCACTTAGAAATGTTGAAATATTTGTGTCCAATCTTGGTTGTGCAAGTTTTTTACCTGACATCACCATGCTACAAACAACACTTATGTGGCTTGGGTTACTCTATTACACATTATGCAATTAAGACCTGCTGTGCGGTGTATGTGTGAGTTAAGAGACTGTATGCAAATGAATTACTTGGTAAAGAGGGTGGTCAGAAGGGATGATTGTCCAAATTCTACATTAATTAAAAGAGATATGACTCCGAGTTACATGAAAAAGATGGTTTTATTGTGCACCATGGAGGTGCATTTTGCCATATGCAGAGGATATAGAGCGGGGTGAAAATGTTGTAGTGCTCGAGCCCTTGATGCCTGTTCATGGTTCACTCACTTTGTGGCAATAATTGTATTAAGTTTATTTAGCAGCTCGTTATTCAAAAATACAGAGTGGCTTTATTTTAACCATTGTGTTATGTTATTGTTGTTTGCCATATATTAATTTGAGGTATTTGGGGGAAGAGTGTTTTGCAGTGAAGGGGAGGGTCCAAGGAAAACATTAATTAAACCAAGCCTCGCTTTTTTATAAAGTGAAATTCAATTTGACAATTCAGCATCTTTCCCCACAACAATAACTTTCATACAGTCCCTAATCCTTGGTGGTCAATCAATCACTATGAGGGGAAAAGGAGGTTACACTGTAAAGTGGGAGGAGCTCGAAGATGACAAGTAACGGACAATCAATAAAGAATCAGAAGTTGGAAGAAAGGGCATTTCATAGTTCCATTTTCTATTTACCTGAACTTAATGGAAGATGGTAGAGAACAAGATTGCGCATCATCACACGGACCACCAGGTCTCTGATAACCTTTAAATGAAGCCAATGCAGAGTGTTAGGCAGACAGCTCAAGCTTGTTTTTCACTTACCATCCACTCTAGCCTGGTAGTACCAGTAGTCCACATCATGTGAACCCAGAAATTTCCATTATTAGATCTAAATTAAGACTTCAGTAAAGTGAGAGATATTCCCACAAATCAGCAAAGGCCCTCAGCTCAATTAATGGTTAGAGCAATACAGTACTGGGACTGGACCTCCTCTGAATGAACTAATCTTCCTCCCTGTTTCTCTCTTAGATTTGTGAATCAAATTTATTAGAGCTAAAGGTACAGAACACAAGGCACTATTGAGGCAGAGATAGGAGGTGGATGCTATGATTGGTAATGATTAAATGTTTCAGCCACCAACCCATGGCAAGACATTTCTAAATGTCTGTCTCCAGTGACCAGGAGCCATGGGATTCTATTGATCATCAGAAGATTTACCAGTGCTGGCCAACTAGCCTGGTATTTATTGAGAGAAAGAGAGGAGGAAAGAGATGAGGCCATAGCAATGAACTGTGATTTGCATCTCATAACATTTTCATGTTATGTGCCAAATCGGCCTCAACTCAGCCTCACTAACAAAAACGAAGTTATGGCTTGTAATGGGAAGTGACAGACCTGTTGGTGGCATCTCTTGGTTCACCCTCGCTTCAAGGGTACAGTATGGAGAAAGATCTGTTTGCTCATAACTCAGACTTTAGTCGACTCCAATCTGCGCAGAAGAACAGCTTGTTGAGCCTTCTGAACACTTAACTTCTCTAAAAACAGACTGCTGGGCATCTGCTGTGGACACAGCTCTTCATTTCAACTAAATGCATTTTTCTGAGATATATTGTTAAAATAAATCCACATCCCTTTAGTGTCATGAGTAATATCTGTCTATTGTTCTTACAAACCCCATCATTAGATTAGAAAACAGAAGAAATACAGGAAAAAGATAAGGGTTGATTTTGTTTTGGCCCAAAATTATGGATTTGATTTGATTTGGTTGTTTCCCTTTGCATCATTGCCACATGTCACAGTGCGTCTATCTTATTACATTAGGTATCTTCTTTACCTCTGATCACAACTGTGGTTCTGTGGTTTTTTGAAACTACATGAGCCATTTCCTTAAAAAGCCCTCAGTGAGATAAAAAAAAGAAAGAAAAAGAGGCAGCAACAGGGAGGGAAGAGTGTCTGTCACATCTTAGCAAGAAGAACTGAACGGTATATCATAACTTTTCTTCTAACAAGTTATTTGAGTAAAAGCAGTAACCTTGAATCAGACCTCTCCTCTTGTGTTTCTACTCACGAACCTCTGTGGTGAATACTCTCAATCCTAGCATCCAATTTTCTTTGCGTGGCATATATATTGAATGGATAGACTGGATAAACTGAATAAGCCCTCTTTGATCCTGATACAATGCATGGGATGGGCATCCTTAGGCAGAGTTTTACTCCTTCTCTGACTGTCCAGAGTTCAGCTGAAGTATCTCTCCATCCATAAGGTGTCTTTGTTTTTTTAATACTCCTCCTTTGTACCCCCTCCCTTTTTCACTACTTTTTATTTTTGTCTCAGTAACAAAGCACAGACTTACCAATGCAGCTGGCTGTGTTTTTGCTGTACAAATAAATCTTGATTACCTCTTTGGCACATTCCCACACATACCATCACTAAAACAAATTTTTTCTCCCTCAATCTCTTTCAGACAATGCTCAAGGACGACTCCTTGCTACTCATACCAAATGTGTTGAAGGTGTTCTTGGAGAATGGACAGATTAAGTCCTTTACATTCGATAGCCGTACCACTGTTAGGGTATGTATTAACTACAGCTGTGCACATGGGAAAAATAACTGAATTTCAAACATCATTGGGATTTTTACTTAAAGCAGATATAATGAATTTTCATATTAACAGTGCATCAAATGACTGTACTGGCATTGGTCATTTGTAGTGATGAACCCACAGATAATTATCCCCCAACTCTGCAGTTTCTTCCAGTTCTTCGGAGTCAACTGTCAGTTTAGTGTTTAGTGTCAACTTTACTGTTTTTTCCCCAGGAGCCAGTAAAAACCAACACAGAACAGAAGAGTGAATATTGGACTTAGCATTTGTCAGGGGACCTGAAACACAACTTCAAATGAATGATTATTAAATGATAATTAGACAGGGGACAACATAAAAATATCATGTCACGATTATCTTGGACAAAATAAATGCGATTCACCATTAAAATATACTTAAAACTTAAAATTGCTCTAAAACATACAGGAATTACTTTAGCTTATTTTCTAAAGAAACAAATGTTTTTATTGCATCACAGATACGACACCTTAGTTAGGGACCTCATCTCCCTACCGTTCCTTAGTTTGGAATCTGAAGTATTTCCACACATCAAGTTGTGGCTAGGAATGTAAGATATATGATTTTATCATGTTTATCGTGTTAAATTTCCATTATCTGGATAATCATGAATATTCTCACATGAGTGACTTGAAAAAGCTGTCCAGATCTCTAAGATACAGGCCTATATTGATTTCCCGATTTATTTTTAATTGCCTCAACTGGATGTGTGGAAATACTATGGATTCCAAACTAAAGAACGACAGGGAGATGAGGAGATAAATCGCATCTTCAACGTCCCATGATTAGTTGTGGCAATTAAAAAAAAAATCAGGAAATCAAATATGTTTATATGTAAGAGCGCTAGACAGCCTTTTCAAGTCAATCATGTGAAAATATTCACGATAATTCCAATTCACGATTATCCCACTAATGGAAATTCACCACAAAATACTGAGTTGTTACACTGTTTTATCAGGATTTGTGACAGAATTGTATAACGTCCCGTTCTTAGTGATAGTACGTCAAGCATATACTACTGTTGATTTTTGGTGGCTTTTACATATTATTGAATTTCTATGGTTCTTCAATTGTATAATATGATTGTTTTGGAGCTTCATGGGGAGCAATTATCAATACAACCCAGGCGCACTCCATGATTTCCTGCACATCATCAAGGTCTGTCACACGTAAATTTAACACTTTGACAATAAATCGCCCAAGCTCAAGTTTGTATCTAATTGCGTTGAGATGATAAATACAAAAAAGCTTTAATTTTCTTTTTTTATCTTATCAGTTTTTGAAGTTTAAAATATCAGTTATGTGATTAAGGCCATAAAGCAACAAATGAATTCAGTCAGACAGAGGTCATTTCTGTCTCTATGTCAGCCTTTAAGATGAGTCTGACATCTCCGAGCAGACTCATTAAATAGACTCTATTAGATTTCACAAATATCTCCTCTGCTCTTGGAGGGAGAGTGAGGGAGAAAAGAAGAAACACAGCAGCACTTTAAAGGAGAGATAGAGGAAGCTTGCTCCTGTCAGCCTAATTAAATGGTATTTCAGTATAATAAGGAGGCTCGGATCAATAAAACAATACTACGGATTAAATCAATGATACAATAGGATGCCCATTAGACTGTCTGTCAACTAAAGAGGCTTTCCTGATGTATTTTAGAATACAATCTATAGCATTGTGTGTCCTTCAGTGGATTATTTGGCTTCCCCAGACGTCATTTAATGCAAACCGCACAGGTCGATACTGTTAAAACAGCTTATCCCTGTTTTCCAGAAACAGCTGCTGCTTAGGTGACATTAACAAGTGTCAATTAAATTGTTTATGAAGAGCAAACCATTAGTGTACATACATTACAGCTCTTAATGAGTGTTCATACTGACAGACTTAAAGCGTCCTGACGTGCAGTTGTTATTTTCTTAAATAGGATGCACTCACTGCACAGAATAAAGAATATCTATGGAAGCTCTCCATAGTACAAAATGACAAATATAAAATAAAGTAAAGAGCCTAAACACATCTTGAGGATATCAATTTGACAAACACAGAGTGAATTCAGAAAATTGGCCTCCATACAATCAATCAAATATATGTTTTTTGTTGCAACAGAATGTGTTCTTACTGTGAAAATGTATTTCAGTCTAATCTAATCTCTCTTCTTGCAGGATGTGATCTCGTCCCTGCAGGACCGCCTCTCGCTGCGCTACATTGAGCATTTTGCATTGGTGCTGGAGGCAGGTGGTTTGGACCAGAATCAAAGGTTGCATCTACTGCAGGACAACCAGCCTCTGACACATGTAAGAAATACAAGACAGCTAAATGAGTATAAGTATGAGAAAGTCTGAGGACAATAGCAGCTATATATTTATATGAATATATGACAAAGTGCCAAAATGAGAATTGAAAAAAACTGTGTTTTGCATTCAAACTTACAGTTTCAGCATTTGTTGCTTTTGGTTGGTTTAGACAAATATTCTAGGTGGGGGGTCATTATTGTGGTGTGGTTTTGCTGCCCTTTTATTGATCAGATAATCTGGCATACTGTCAGGAAAACTGGAAAGCAAGTTGAGAGCTCTAAACTTGAAAGGTGAAATTAAAATAATAAATCATAAATCAGACGATTCTGTGATTTTGAATGAAAATCACATTCTTTCTTGACTTTCAGTCTTGTATATTTATGTTGTAGGCTGTTGGTTGTTGTTGGCTCTACATTTCTTGCATTTGCTCACTTTGATAAAACTAAATCTGCACACACTTATCATCGCATTGCTAACACACACCTATAGAAAATGATAGTGTGATATGTGTGACTAATGCCAAAGATAAAGTCAGTTGATACTAATAATGCCATGTTCCCTCAGGTGGTGCATAGAACCTATTTCCAAGGGATGAAGTGTCTGTTCCGCATCTGCTTCTTCCCCAAGGACCCTGCAGACCTGCTGAGAAGGGACCCCGCCGCATTTGAGTACCTCTATATACAGGTGAAGTGCTGGATTAAAGGGGCATTTGAAAGTATGTCATTCAATCTCAAGATACTGTTGGAAAGCTGTCTCCTTGAGGAGCAAGGGAGGCCAGTGATGATAAGTTATTACAAGTAGCTAGTTGTATTTACTGTTTCCATTAGATTATGTTTACTCTTGCCTTTAGGGTTGCATATGCCAGAATCAGGCTTTAGACACAATGGCCCTCTTGTAAGGACTCCAACAATGCTTCCACATTAACTATAGATATCTGACAGTCTAATGAATTGGGAAGCTGTCTCCTTGTGCACAAAACATTTTATCATGTCCTAACAGAGTCGCAATGACGTCATCAAGGAGCGCTTTGGAATGGACTGGAAATCTGACATCACGTTACGATTGGCTGCTCTCCATATCTACATCACTGTGTCCTCCGCACGGCCCAATCAGAAGATCTCTCTCAAGCATGTCGAGTAAGTCCACAAACTAAATTAGCTTTCAAATGAACTTACAGACAAAAAATGATGTATTGCATTTTTTACCTCATTAACAATTCTGTGTAGCATATCAGTGAGTCCCATGGTGAGGTTCCTTCATCCAATAATGTCTAAATGATTAATAATTAATCCCAATAGTATTAAAAACTCAAATTACTCTGGGATCATTTTGCCTAGGTTGTTATGAGACAAAGAAATCCACTGCTTTCTGAAATTACATCTCTCCCTCAATTTGCTCATTTATTCTTCAAAACCTCAACCTAGCAAGTAATTAGCTTCTGCCATCACAACCACAGAAGCAGAACAGACCTACTGTGCTTGTAATAGACTTAGTGTGGCCATGTCAACCCAGGAGTCATAGAGGATGTAAGCTAGGCTCACTGTGTTTTCCCATGGGATGAAAAAACTCTTTTGTCTTCTCACTTGGGATATCTTCCCTGAACTACTCCACTGTTGTTTTTCTCTTTTTTGTTTTCTCCCTTTTGCCCTCAATCACAGAAAAGAATGGGGACTCGAGCCTTTCCTTCCCCTCACTCTGCTCCCAACAGTCAAGGAGAAGAATGTGTGCAAGAGCCTGTCTCAGTTGCTGAAGACCTACCAGCATCCACCACCTTCGGGCAACAAGGTTTCTCCATATAAGATTTCGACACTAGTTGTAAACATTTCCATGATTGAAATATCTATTATTTGTGGACAATTTTACTGTCTTTGGTTACACATCCATAAGCATAACAAAAACATAAAGATCTACCATACTCTTGATTACTATTAACATTTAAATATCAACACATTGCTGCTTCTTTGGAGGAGATTTTAATTTATTGTATTCTATGGTTATGTCTGCTTGATAACTAGTCCTTCATCTTAGGACAAGCCCTTAATCTCTATAGATGTAACTGTTGCATAAGACCTCATGATCAACATCTGTGGCTCAACAGTGCCCCCAGGAGGACATGGGAAGTGCTGGAGGAGGATTACTCTTTCAAAGATGAGCGTTTCTTGTTTATCATTCTGTTGACAGGTCCCTCCTCTCCAAGGAAAGCTGCAGTACATGCGTGTACTCAACGACCTCCCACCTTTTGGTGGAATACTGTTCCACACTGTTGGACTGGTAATGCATTTTTTAATCTTTGGGTACAGGAATACATGTATCTCTTCTACTTAATTCCTTGCTCCACTTATTTTCCGTAATGTGTCTTTGAAGCTGTCTATGTAGTCGCAGAGGGGGCACATTTTTCAATGCACTGATTTAACATTTTAATGAAACTGTCAAAACAGTGAATTTTGAAAGGTATAATGTGACGTTCCAATATAGTAAGTAAATGCTGTTGTAAATTTCCTGTGTCCTTCTACAGGATGAGAAACAGTCAGCTACAACACTACTGGTGGGTCCTCGACATGGCATTAGTCATGTGATTGACCTGAAAAACAACCTCACAACCGTTCTGGCCGAGTTCAGTAGGGTTGCCAAGATCCAGCTCTACAGAGAGAGCCAAGGGGTGGCTCGTGTGGAGGTGACAATCCATGAGGCCAAGGTATTACAACACTGTGTCTAAAGATTCACACAATTACACCTGATACATCTGAAGACACACAATTTTGCACTAGTGAAAATATATATTTGCATGCCATCTCTTTAGTTTTTATTTTAACTTCATAAATGATAAAATTATTAAGAACCAAATCTTTCAACAGTTTCATACATTTTATTTCATCAGGTCATTACAAAATGAGCAGGCAATGCTCATTGCCTGTCCCCTAAATAGTCTCCTAATTCCCCTCCCTACCACCCTCTGCAGCCCTTGGTCCTTCTCATGGAATGGCCTGATGCCAGTAATTTTGCCTGCCTCATCTCTGGCTACTACAAGCTGTTTGTAGACCCTAAACGGACCATCTACTTCCGGACTCCTGGTCAGTCTCAGCTGACCAAGGCAGGTATGTTAGAAGTCTTTTTGACTTGTGATTCATTTTGAACAAATGCTCTGATTAGACAATATATATCAAATGTAAAATAATTTACAGAAAACAACACTGTTTACTCAAAAGCTTACAATGAAACATTCATATCACGCATTTAGAGTTGTATAAATGAAAGTGTCTTTACCTCAGCATCATATTAGACACTGCATGTCAGGCAATATTTGACAATCTTCATTATATGTTCAGTCTACATGGACATTGATCTGCTTTTTCATTGGCTGAAACCATTACCTGTAGTAACCAGGTTATCCTGGAACTACCATCCCATGGTGCCCTCTGCTCTCTCTCCTCTCATCTCAATCTTGACTCATTGGAATGGGATACTCCATGTTTCTTAGAATAACATTGTGGAATTGTGGAGTGAATTGTACTTTTTGCTGTAATCATAAACATTTACTGTTCAAACATGAACAGATCCTCTGCCATCTGCTGTCTCAACCTGTAGTCCACATTTAAGAAGGATCATTATACCATCACATTCCACCAGAATCTAACCCTCCAACCTCAAACAAACTTCAACTTTCAACATCCATCTCTGAAATAACAAATAATCTCCATGTGACCACCAGCTGTCGCCTCTGCTTTCCCATAAGGATCTTCTCTATCCCAACTAGTTCTTAACACCTCAAACTCTCCACTGCTCTGACAATTCTATCCTCAGATTACAGAAGCTCCCACCATGCCCACCCACGTTCTGGGGCAACCAGCTTGCCAAGTGGAGGGCGGCGAGGGGACGAGAGGGAAAGCTCACACAGGGAGTCAGGTTCCGCAAGGGCCCTTGTTCCAGCAGAGCCTCAGCATCTAGGCCTGTGTCATGTCCACCTTCGAGAACAACAACAATTTCAAGAGCTCCAAACACACACCGAAGCTGAACTCGACATCAATGAGAATTTTATTTCCCAAGAGCCCCCTGGGCGGCCCCGCACCAAGTCAGACCCCACCCAGCAGAGTACAGAGGAAATAGCTGGGGTTTTAGAAACCCCAGCAGTGGAGATTGCAGGATTCCGAATCCGAGCCCAAACTATGGGACAATCCCAGAAAACCTCACGATACTTCTGTGACTCCTGCAAAGCCAGGCACAGGGCAGAGGGTCTTACAACAGCATTGAACAGTAGTGGGAGCTCTGGAAAACACTGTTCCAGTGCGTGTGCCTCCCGAGATGGAGGTGCTGTTGACCTCATGGCACTACCGCCCCCGGGGAATGAAGAGGAGGACGAGCCAGATGGTGGAGGAGAAAAGCTGCAACCACCACCACCTGCTATTGCTGCCCCACCACCTGGCTTCAGGGACAACAGTTCAGATGAGGATGACACAAAGAGAGGGAGGAAGGCTCGAACCAGTGCCAGCCCAGGGGTTGCCTCTGGGAAGCTGGCCCAAGCCAAGGAAGATGTGCCTGTGACACTGATTGATAATGTTGCCACGAGAACAGTCCGAGATCATGCCCAGGAACTTGATGATGCTCTGGTGTCCACCTTACAGGCACTAGAGGCTTTGGCAGCCTCTGAGGACTACCCCCATCATCCTCAACAGCCAACACAGACTGCAGGTCAACAGCCTCAGTCATTAACAACAATAATACTGATACAATTAAATATTTATTATAATACATTTACAATACATCATATTTTCATTATAACTACAGTCTTACTAAAATCTCCTTGTGAAATGGCATGAAAATTCTGTAATCTCTTAATTTTATGGTAGCAATCCATGTACAATAAGTGCAAAATTACCTCATACCTACAGGATGCTGAACAATTGACCGATAACCCAAATTAGAACACTATTATAGTGAAGCTGAAAATATTATGGACCGTGGTTTTACACAAATGAAAACAATAGTTCAATATTACACACTGTGTCTTAAAAACATAATTAAACTTTTTTTTTATTAAACACAGAGTAGGAAATTTGCTAGTCTTTGCACATTTCTCAAGCACACACTTGCATCTGCATGCAAAAGCAGCAGTTCTTTCAGGTTGGGTGAGGCAAGCCCAATGGTGCATAGTTTGCAGTCTGAAAAGGGGTTATAAATCATAAAGGACTGATTTTGAGAACAAATTAAAAGTAAAAGTATTCCAAAATATTTTTTGCTGTTTTGTGAATGTCAAGATGAATCCATTCAACTGTAAATGTCTGGTTTGGCAACTACAGTAAAACCAAAAATATACAATTTGAATATTTCTATCTTATTAATATTTGTTATTTCTTTACCATAATGGTGTGCTGTGTTCTCCTCCTCAGGGCTGATTGTCTTAGCTGCCATTACACCTGAGTCATCATTGGACTCAGGCCATGAGACCAACTCCTCTGAATTGACAGATGTTTCAGAGATGGTGTCGGCTATGAAGCAGAACCAGAACCAGGCCTATCTGCTGGCTCACCATATCAACAAGGAACGTATTCTCTGCCGCCGCGACTTTCCCCTGGCTATCCCTGGCTGCACTGCAAAGACCATAGGGACTGGGGCCTTCTCTGTGGGTCAGATTCGTGCTGGCTGTCCACCCAAGCAAGTAATCCTCAGCAAGACTGTTCCCTTTAAAGTCGGGCCCAGTCAAGACTCTGCAGTGCTCAGTGTTGTGACAGAGCAGGGGGGCAATCAAGACACTACTGAGACTGAACAGAAAGCAGAAACGAAGGCAAACTGTGAGTCCACCAAAGCAAACACCACAGACCCCCCTTCTAAGTCACCTGAAGAACTTCAAGTGTCTGATGCTTCACTGACAACTCAAGTCAGTAAAGATCAGAAGTTTTCAAATTCTTTAGGGGAGTCACTGAGCCAAAATCTTTCTGATGGTATAAAGGGGAAGACAACAGCACCTCTTAATACAGACCCTAGCAACAAAGCCTTACCTATCTTCCTGCCTCTGGAAAGAACTGCCTCTGCCAAGATTTCCCCCACTAATATGTGCCAAGATGCCAAGACTGCCTCTAGTGAGACCATGAAGCCTTCAAGCTCTGCAGAACTTCTGCCAGTTGATGACCTCTTCTGCACATGCCCAATGCAGGAGCCTGGACCCCAACTAAGACTAAAAGATCCACAGGTTCAGAAGGTAGTGGTGTTTCAATCCTCCTCCCCCACAGATGATGAGCGTCTTCGTGCCAAAGGCCTACAGCTGGCTAACAGCAAAGAAAATACAGTGAAAGTAGGAGCAGATCCTAGTTTGGCAAAACCCAGCCCTCAGATGCAAACCAAGTACTCGCCTCGTTTGCCTGTTAAAGCAGAGAGAAAAGAAGCAGCTGAAAGCAAGGCTGAGGCTGCCCCGGGCAAATCCCACCTTGAGTCACAGAAATGCCCCATAAAATCTTTACCTATTTTAGATGATCCAACAACACCTAGCCTCTCTGTAGATAAGGTCTCTACTCTCCCAGCCAGAGACTCAAAGAAGCAAGGTAGTGGTAAGGGGAAGTCCCAGCGGAGTGCCCCTTTCTTAAGCTTTAGAAATCTTCTTTCGGCTACGTTCCCTGCAAGAATGCGAAGAGAAACAGATGAGCGAAGGGCTCAGTTGCAGAAAGTCCGTCAGTATGAACTAGAGTTCTTAGAGGAGCTGCTGAAACCGAAGTCATCCCAGGGCGAATTTTTGCCCCAGGGATCCTCACCTGTGCCCTCAGGCACTCCTTGTGCCTGCCAGCTCCGCACCAGCCCTGTCCTAAAGGCACCAGGTATCTCCAGGGAGCAGCGACGCAGCTGTGACTGTAAGCGAATGTGTAGGGGCATGAGACTACCTGATACACCAGTTGGCTCCACAACAGAGACACAACACAGAGGCAGAACTATCTCGAAGACTCCTCCAGCAGTCTCCAAAGCCCCTCACACCCAAGGTGCTACCAGGAGACCTCAGACCTTAGAGATCAAGACCACACGAATACGCTCTACCAGCCTTGAGTCAAGGGAGCCAAGGGCAGAGCAGGGTTCCTGCTTGCCCACCTGTACTTCTCAAACTGATTGCATGGGAGCACCACAATATAAGAAGCTCCAGAGGCGTTACAGCATTGGAGAGCTGGATAACAGCACTAACACACCTGTGTATGCTGAAGTAAAGCCCAAAGCCAAGAGCCTAGAGAAGGAGATGGAAAGAGTGAGGGCCACAGGGCTGAGGCTCCCCACTCCAATAGAGCCAGTCCACACTCAGTCTCACCAGACAGAAGGAAAGGGAAAAAAGGGTGTGTTTTTTATTCAGGGAGAAGAGCTACTGCGTGAAAGTAAAGATGGGACTGACGAGGTGCTGCTGACCCTGCCTAGTGAAGACAGTGATGAAAAAGATAAATGCTGCTCATTCTGTTTCTGCTACAGGAAGTGTGAAGCAGCAGATGAAAGCAGTGAGAAGGACGAGCTTTCATACTCCATACCCCTTCAGGTCCTTCCAGGCATGGAGCTGGACTCACGTACCTTTCCTGTAGTAAGCAAAACACTCCAGGTTCTGAATGCAGAGGACTGCAGTGGAGAGGAAGAGGAGGAGGAAGAGGAGGAGCCACAAACACAGGAAATTGACCTGAGAGCCTGTGGTACACTGGAGGGGAGCCTGGCACGGGTACAGGCTCTACAGGGGAAAAGTTTCAGCTTGCCTGATGGTTTCCTAAATGCCCAGTTGGATGCTAATGAGTTGCTAGCTATCCTGCGTCAGTGTGCTAACAGCCCACAAGCTGAGGGTGAGGCTCGTCTTCAGCCCTCACAGATTGCAGAGTACAAACAGGAGCTGGCGGTGCGCTTCAAAGAATTCAGAGCATCTTGTCGGCGAGTGGCAAGTGTTGAAAAAAGTCCAACACGAATGCTTGCTGTTGTCACAGCCAGCTTTCAAGTGTTGTGTGAACTAACTCAGACCTTCATCAAATTGGTCAGAGGGGTTCGTTCAGAAACCCAGAGGCTGCAGCTGTTGAGAAAAGTTGAAGAAGTAGCTATCAACTACACTTTGCTTCTACGTGCAGCAGAAGAATCAATGGGACACTCAAGCAGCTTGCCAACAAAGACAGTGAGCCCTCAAGTTTCCTCCAACACCAATAACATGAGCTCACTCACTCGACCCATCAAAACTCTGCCTGCCCAGTAAGGATAAATCTGGCAGGGATGTAATCAAAACAGTACAGAATGTGGGTGGCTACTCTATCCAAATTCATTATTTGTTTATTGTTTACATTTTTTACAAGTCATGCAATCTTCAGTATAAATTGCAATGCAGCTGTTCCATCCCATGTTTACAGGCCCTGAGGTAGCCTCGTGGATCTTGTTTTGAAATATAAAGATACACCAAACTAATGCACAATGGAATAAGAACCCTATAACAGACTGGGTGATACAGGGCTAATCACCTCATATCAATATTCACAATATACATAAGTCACTATAGTATAATATTTTATATGTAATGTATATTTGAGTTGTGTCTACTTAGCAAATAATATAAAGTTTTGTGAAGAAAAAAGTGAAGAATATATTTGAAATGTATTGAGTTAAGAGAATTATAAAGATTATAATAAATCATCAGAAATAAGTGTATGCTCTGCTCTGGACAAAAATATTTCAGAGATCTCGTCACGTAGCGACTTCTGTTAATTGCGTAGTCCAAAGCGTTGGTTGGTTAGATGGTGATGTGTGTGTTTGTTGAATTTTCTAACTGTTGTAATGCAAAATGGAGATCTCTGTTGGCTATGTTGACTATGTCTGGCGTACTGATACAAGAGTGAAAATGTAAGTGACAGTGTTGGAAAATGAAAGACAGGTATGACATTTTAAACTATAATGACTGACAGAGGCCCATTCTCTCACTATAACAGTGCAGGTTTGAAACACACCTGCTCAGGGCAGACAATGTAGCAGAGACCCAAGTCATAGTCTTATCCACTATACGGTAAAGAGTGTTGTTACCTCACTCAGCTGTAGAGAAGGAATACCCACACTGTACTTAACAACGCACAGAGTGTATTTTACACCATCACAGATCCATGGCTCACTTGCATCTCACTTGTCGTGAATCATAGTTTTAAATATAACCATCCACTTGCAAGTGAGTAAGCTTATCACTAGAATTTTGCACAACCTCTGAAATTAGCTCTGAAGTTGAAATGTATCTTTTAATGTTTGATTAAGTGTTTTTTATTCACTCTGCTGCTGAAAACTCCACACCACCACTTTTACATAATTCATCTCCTCAAAGCTAAAGCTTACCCGTTTCAAAGGATCCTTTGTTTTTATTCAGGTTTTCAGATACACTATAAACAAATTTGCTTTCTATGTGCTGTTATACATTGTGCAACCTAGCAAATATATAAGAAACACACAAAGTAGTTTTCTATGTATTTTAATAAAACTAACACATCTGTTTCCTGTCTGAAATCTTCTTTGTGTCTCATCCTCTTGTTATTCTTAATCACAGAGGCTTTATGATTGTGCTGGCCTAACATGTATACTGGACATACTGTTAAAAGAAAGTGCTGTGAAACCACATTAATAGTGACAACTGGACTGCCACAATACTAAAGACAAGAAATGTGATATTGCTGTTTACATGGTACTCCAATGAAAATAACTCAAATGTTTATAAAATACTGTATATGATGTAAACATCTGAGTCAAAGTATTTAAATGAATTAGCCTTGAATAAAGGTGAACTGTTACGGTGGTAGGAAACTAATTTTAGCGTGCCATACCGTGTCCATACTGTAGATGAAAAAGCTTGCAAATGTTCAATATTTGATAAACATTAGAAATCAAGGGTGGTTCATTTAAATGCCACATACGTTATAGTCAAATTGTGTTTTAGTACTGCTGTAAATTTGAGCCAGTTATTTCATTTTTAAATGTATCTATATTTTTCAACTTGGATTATTTGTTATTAATATGACTTTGTGGGACAATGTGATTATTCATCAGTTAAGCAATATGGCTGTCTTATAATACTGGGAGTATAAAAGGAAAAGCAGAATATCAGCTGTGTTGCACTTATTTTCTTGGTTTCAGGACACATTTAGTGTTTACAAGCACTCTCTTTTAATGGTTTGTCCTTCGCTGTTGATGTGGCATTTTCCATAACCATATGCAGTGTTTTCTCTTTCACTGTAATGCATGTTTTCCCTTACGTATTAGTCTTTCAGGGGCAGATACTTTGACCATTGAAGGTGATGATACTGTTTGTACGGATAATTTTCCAGTTCTAAAGTAGAAAAACAGGCAAAAATGAAAGGCCATGGTGGCAATATGTTAATGTTTTGCAAATGATATTGAGTATGGAAATGTATTATTCTACACTGTAAATGTAAATAGCAAGATAAAATATTTGAGAGAACAAGAAACACTTTTAAAACATTACTTGTAACATCAAGATTTATCCAAACTCTTCACTATTTTGTAAAAAGGAAAAGATCAAACATGTCTGTAAGGTAATTATTTATAGTAGTAATGTAACATAGACTAATAGCAAAACATATATTTTAATGAGTATATTACGAGTATAAAGCATGGGACATGTTTATTTTTATAAACAAAAATATCAGACAATATTCTCTCATCAGCACTTGAACATTTTAACATTATGATAAACATTTTCTGTGGTTGTCATTGTTCAGTTGTTTTGCTAAACTGTGTGGATTTGGTTTCAGTGGTCTGTGTTTCATTCACACGATGAGCCCGCCATGGCTTAATCCATTGTTTCTTTATGTGCACCTATTCATTCCTGTCTTTATTTACTGTCAATGATCTTGTCGTCACTGTGGTCTTCTGTCTGTGTACAAAGTTAACTCATGTTTTAAGAGCAATAAAGTATATTATATAAACTCTTTCAGAGAATTTGGAAATGACATTGCATGCAGTAAACTTGCAGTAGTGACAGGATGTCCATGAGAATGCCTTCAAACAAATGACGTCATGTGAAAGATCTGGAAACGTCTCTCTTGCTGCTGCCAGCAGTTTCTTACTGCTGTGGTTGCTTCATTCATTTGCCTCTGACAAAAAGTCATGTTGACTCAACAGTGCAAACCTCCCTGACTTGACACAACACCAACAATTAACAGCAAAATGGCTTTATGTTGTTAACATTATAGGTTTACTTAATCTGTGTCATTCATGTTATTTCTAAGCATTTGAAGCTAAGCTGACCACTAGCCAGGGGAGCCTCTTTGCCCGAAACAATAAGGTTATGCTCATTTACAAAACTGGCAACAAGAAAGACAATCCAGTGAAAATACAACTGTCTGTGGCTGTTATACACCCATAATTTTACACACCAATCAAAACCTAAACATACAAGAATAACAGTCATAGTCGATAGCTTTATTCACAGTAGACATAAAAGCACAGGTGCAAACATTAAAGTTAATGATGGCAGAATTCAATTTAGTTAGTCAGTTTCAGGGTCCTGGTATTAAGCATGCTGGCTCACTGTCACATTGTCATGGTTTACTGGGACATTTGAATAAAGAGCCATTAATGTTATTAGTAACACCTGTGTTTTTTCCTACTATGACAAGTCAAAATGTCTGCAGTTAAAAAGGCTTATACTTACCTCTTTTTACAGATTTTGTTGAAGCACATTTGTTTTGCGCCCTGTTGTCTCTGAGGCCCTGAGGGGAGATAGATTTTAGCTTTAATGACAACACAGGAGGAATGTGCAAACTTGTTATCGCTGAATCTGAATCTGAGTTATAAAAGAGCTGCAAGCTAAATATCATTTTGCATAAATCCAACACCAAAAAACCTTAGATCAAGCTAATAGGGGAATGTGTCTTAGCCTAAACATGCACTGCAGTATCCTCCAAACCAAGAAAGGTTGTGGATTTTCTAGGAGCCCACATTTCCTGAGGACCCACAATCGATACTGAGGTTTAGTGGAGGCAAGTTAATGGTTTACAGACACTGACATAACGCCAATTGCCTAGCCCCTGATTTGTATGAAACAATTCAGAACAATATTTGAGGCAATAAAAGGTAAAACACGACGACCGGGGGCAGTTAAAACTCTTATTCCGTGTGTACAACTATGCAGAACCTCACTTTGGATACGTTTGCGCGTTTTATTTGCATTAGTGTGTGCAGGACCACACAGCCAAACTCAGGAAGAGTACATGGATGTGCCTCGCTCGCTCGCTCCCCCGCCCAGAATGACGCAATCACGGCTGAACGTAGTGAAAGCGTGCGCGCCGCCCCGAAGAGCCGCACGCGTGATGTGTGGGACATAATGGTGGATAGGTAGGGAACACACTTTAGCTCGGTTAAAGAGTAGCTCATCAACTGTTGGATCAATTTCCAGTTGTTGTCTTGGACTCTTCGCCCCCTCGGACTCGACAGCTGCTCGCTGCCGCCGCTCGCTCGGACTGAACGACGCCCTGGATCGCAAAAAATGCCGAATATCAAAATATTCAGCGGTAGCTCCCACCCGGACCTGTCTCAGAAAATAGCAGACCGCCTGGGTCTCGAGCTGGGGAAGGTTGTTACGAAGAAATTCAGCAACCAAGAAACATGGTGAGGCGTTTGCAGCCGTGGCTACTTCTTAAAGACGCTCATAGTGAAGGCGTATGGCTGCCCTGTATGCAAATGTTGTAGCCTAGCGACATGTATTAAATTAGAAACGTGGTGTCACGATGAAATTGCCGCGCAGTGTTGTTAGGAACTTGTAGTCCACGCATGTCTGAGGACTCATGCTAACTATCAACCTGGCTGTTTATTCCGAGCCACACAGCCAGTAACCTGAAATCATGTCATTCATATATAAAACAGTGCGACTGTCGTTTTTCTGACTCAGCATGCCCCCCCCCTCCCCCCACATTTAACCCTTAAAGATAACATCACATACACAGAAGCTAT